TATTCACGTCACATTTTTTTTTTTTATAAATACACTATTTTTATTCATTATAATCCATATATATATATATATATTTTACCATTACATTCTTATTCTCAAATTAACATAATTTATTCCTGATTTCTCTTCAATTTTTTTTTTATAATAACATAAAAGACATTAATATGTTAATGAATAAATATTAATAACCTTTAACATAATAAAAATGTGGTGCATTTATAAAAAAAATATGGTGTGAATATTACCACCTTTGGGTATTTCAAATTTGGTTTTAATTAAATTAAATATAAGGACTTAAGGTAGTCCTGATGCAAGCTCACAGCCTACAACGATAAGAAATCCTCTCTAAACCAGCCTCATCATATATAGATTCTTTCTCCCTCAACATATACAGATTAGGGAGAAAGTCACAAACAATATCATCAAAAATTCAAGATAGATATTGACATAAAATAGTTGTTGCATAAGGAAAATTACCATCATAAAATAACAACTTTGAAAAATAAATTCTAAGAGCTAGAAGCAGAGAAGCGTTTAAGATTAAATCATTCATACACAGTCAAATCAAGTCAGAAACAAATAGAGCCCAATAGAATTAAAGAATGTTTCTAAATAAACATCTAATATTACCTCCAAAATTCGGTAATGGAGCAAATGACGTATTCTTGAAGAAACTACTGATAATGGTGCCAAGAGGTGATTAACACATCTCCCTTTTTCGATCATAGGCGTAGGTGACAAACCTTCTTCAACCCATTTGCAGTTTTGATCTACCATTGCTACCCAGTAAGTTACACAAATATTTAAAAAATCAACATACAACTCAAAAATCAAATGATGAAATAGGTTTCTCCGTGACAAAGAGAGAGCATAGTGCGCATTGTGCTAGAATAGTCCTCATTATGCCTTTTTAATATTATTGTTGTACAATAATTCTAATAATTGGCAAAGAAATTATTTGCTGGGACACACTCATTATTTCAAATTGTTTGATCGATTGCTTTTGATTTGAATTTATACCTCCAAATTAAGCAAAAGAAATCCTGATTTACACATAAATGTACCCAAGTGTTCCATTTACGAACATAAAAAAGACAAAATCTGGATGTGCAAGTTCAACACTATAAAGAATGATTACCTCCTCCAACTGATTTAAAAAAATTTGAAACCAAATTCTTGGCTTTTCAAAGCTTTTCTTTTGGATAATTTTTCAGTCGCAAGCCAATTTCACAATACTCGTCAACCTTTCTTTCCTCTTCTTGCCACCTCTTGTACGGTTCCTTCGTCTTTTACTCTGTGCTTAGCTTGCCATTCCTACCTGACATAAAGGAAGAATATATGCTCGATTTGGTTGGTGAAACTCAAGGCTAAGGAGAAAAGAAGAAGATATATTTGATTTGAGAATGAAGATGCAACCAAATCCCTTTTTCAATTTTCAATTTGGGGATAAATGGTTTTAATGTGAATAAATTTTCAATTCCTCCTTCAATTTAGCTTTTTAAAAGTAAGGATAAAATAGTAATAAATTTTATTTTATTTTTGAGAACTTGGCCAAAGGCCTGTTAGACCAAAAAAGATTGAATGGTGGTCATTTCAACTCATTCCCTTGATTAGATTTGGGGAAATGGGTTGGGTCATAGTAGGTTTCAATTTTTTTTCTCTTGGGCTAGAAAGCTCAATACTAAACAAATGGGCTTGGGTTGGGCCCAAAGTTCAGTTGGACTTCATTGGGCTCCGCCCCTTATCACAGGCAATTTAACAAATGTAGGTTCGAATATATAAATAAGGCGGTCACTATATACAATTTCATCTTTAAATCTTCGAAATTCATGTTGTAATTATAATTTATTAGTTAAATATATCGATGTCACAATTATGCATACTTGATTACAAATTTTATAGGTTACAATTTATTTACCTATTACAAATTATCAAATTAATAGGTTACCAATTATTTATGGAATAATTATTCACAGGGGTTGTACAGCCCCTCACAAAAGGGTCCCCTCACATGTATTTTGAAAATAAAAAAAAAAAAAATTAGTGTGGACCCCTCCTTTGAGAGGGACATGTACAACCCCTGTGAATGATGCTTCTATACATGAAGCATTATTCTTATTTATAGGTCACAAAATCACAAATATTATAGTTCACAACTTATTTCACGATCATCAATTACAAAATTAATTGGTCACAACTTAATAAATTATGAGTCACGATTACAAATTTAGACGCAATCTCACAGTTTTTTGGTTACATATTATTTATTTGGGTCACAAACAATCGAATTTATCGATCACTCATGATTTACTGATCGCAAATTAATCAATTTATAGGTCGCGTGTACTCTAATAATGTCACAAGTACTCTTTATCCCATACCAACCACCAACACCAACCGAACACTACACCATCTCACCACCACTGCAGCACCACAATCACTATCACACCACTACCACCACCGCCACCGCAACGATTTAGCCCTGCCATCACCACCACCACCACCACCACCATTGGCTGAATAAATTTAAACAAACCTTGATAGAGCTACTAGAGATAGTAGTTGAGGATAGAACAACTAAGAGAGCTTAGGCAAGTAGTCTTTCACGCTACTAGAGATAGTAGTTGAGGATAGAAC